TTGGCCTGATCCAACATTGGCTTCTCTTATGTTCTTATATGGAGCAGAGGTCCATCAGTGGCTATTAGCCACAAGGTATAGAGAGGAACTCTCAGTCTGGGGCAAGAGATGCTCTGTATTCTTGGTGGGGGGGGGGGGGCAACAGTGGGAGGGCTTCTAGTGTCCTGGTTCCACTGCTGGACCTCCTGAGGGCCCCTGGTATTTCTGGCCACTGCGAGACAGAGTGTTGGACTGGATGGGCCATCGGCCTGATCCAACATTGGCTTCTCTGATGTTCTTACGAAACGGGATCGTGCGAAATGCAGCTGCGGGCAAGAGAAAGGAGCGCTGCTGCTGCTACGCCCGCAACGGAAACGGGACCCACCCCGAAGCGGCTTCCCCGCCAGCCGGGAGAGCCGAGGAAGCCGAAGGCATCCGCGGGGGGCTCGAGAGGCGCCCGGTCCATAAGGGGGCTGGCTGGAAGGGGGCGTGGCCGCCCGGGGCGACTAGGGACGGCGCTCTGCCCATGCCCAGAGGCGCCCTGCTCTCGAGCGCCCCCGGCCCGGCCCACCCCGCCCAAAAAGGCGGTCCGGGGGCGGCGAGGGGCGCCTGTCGGGGTCCGCGCTAGGCAGGGGTCCGCCGCTCCTCCCGGCCGGCGTCCTCGTCGTCGTCGCCGCCGGCACTGCCGCCTCATCCCCACCCAGCCAGGGAAGGTCGGGACGGGAGCGAAGCAGAGCGAAGAAGGCCGCTCCTCCTGTAGCAGGGCGCGGGCGAAGGGGACACGCGGGCGGAGGGAAGGGGCGGCCGCCGCCTCCTCCTCCTCCTCCTCCTCAGCTGCGATCCGGGCCTCGCCTCAGCTGCTGTCGCCGCCGGGACTCCGCTCCCGCCGGGGAGCCGCTCGCCATGGCCAGAGCTCTCCCTCTCCGACGCGGGCAGCCCCGCCTGACCAACGAGGACGCGTCCGGCCCCCTGGCTGCCCAACCAACGGCCTTCCTGGGTTTCACCGCCGAGCCCCCGGGCTACACCGCCTCAAAACCAGTTCGGCCGGGGGGGAAGCAGGTTCAGTGTCCCAGGCAAGCGACGAAAACAGCCTATGCTGGCGACGGCCGACGTTAAAGGGCCCCTGCCCGTCGCTTTTTCCATATACCGCGTGAGGGTTTTTTTTTCTTTACCCTCGGTCTTTCAACCCTTCCCGTCGCCTTCGGATGACGTTACGAAGTGGGGTTATCCGAGGGAAGACCGGGGGCGGGGTCTTGGCGGGGAGCCTTCACTTTCTTCCATCCCACACCTCGAACACGCCCCTTTCGCTGTTCGGCCGCTCGGCTCCTTCCGCCGGCTGAAAGACCCTGTCGGAGGAAATCTCGCGAGACCTGGGTCTTGAAACTTCTCTGTGGAGAAGAGGCGGGAAACGGGCCGGGTGGCATTTTGCGGGGCTTGTTGGCTGGCTAGCTGTGTCGCCTCAGTGAGCCGCATTTGACGTGGAAACCTGACAGGCGCGCGCAGAAGACCTTATTTTAGGAAGTGTATTTGAATGTATTTAGGTACTCAGCTTTGTAAAAGATGCTCCTCGGGTTGCCAACCTCCAGGTGGGGCCTGGGGATCTCACGACCAGTGTTCCCTCTAAGCTGAGTTAGTGTGAGCCGGCTCACCGTTTTTTAGCCTCTGTCCTGACACATTTTGGTCTTTGCTCAGGAGGGAGGGCTCCAGAGCAAACTGATTTGTGTAGCAGCCAGATCGCTCGCTCACAACTTTAAGGCCAGGAGCTCACAAAGTAGAACTTTGGTTCATGAGACTCCACAGCTTAGAGGGAGCATTGGCTCATAACCGCTGGTCTCCAGGCCGCAGAACTCAATTCCCTTGGAGAAAATGGCAGTTTCAGAGGGTGGGAATCAGTGAACAGATCTTGCGAGAAACGTGTTAGGGAAGAAGCGGGCAACGGGCTGGATGCCATTTTGAGTGGGCTAGGTCAAGGCGGGCCGCCGTGTTAGTCTGTAGCAGTAGAAAAGAGCAAGAGTCCAGTGGCACCTCCAAGACTTCATGAAAATTTGTGGCGGGGGGGAGCTTTCATGAGTCACTGCTCCCTCCTTCCGATACAGTTAGAATGTGAGTCCATCTGTCATCTTGGAGAGTGGAGTGATTTCAGATGGCAAATGACAAGAGCGGGCATGACACGATGACTGGATTAGGTGTGATATGTAGAAGGGTGGTAGGTGTGCAGAAATCAGCATTGGTAATGAGACAGGAAACCTAGGTCTCGATTCAGTCCATTGCATCGTCTCGAGCTTCATTATCAGTTGCATTTCAGCAGTCTCTCTAATCACCCTTTGAAATTCCTTTGTAAGAAAACTGCTACTCTTAGGTCAGCAACTGAATGTCTAAGAAGGTTCAAATGTTCCCCTCGTTTTTTTAGTGTTTGAGGGGGCATTGATTGGCAGCCTGTTTTACCTTTGTTTCTAGATTATGAGAACTGGTTGACCTGGAACATGCTTGCACCCTTGCTTTTGAAGGTTATTTTAAATGTAATTAGGTACTCAGCTTTGTGAAAGTCCTCGCTCGACCTGTTGGTTGGTTGCCAGGGAATCCCCCTTTTCCCCGTATCCCTCTTAGTTACTGTTCCCATTTTGGCTTTTACAAATGCCTGCTTGACATTTTGTCAGTATGACTTCCTCAAGGGGGCATTCTTCAGGGCTCAGATTTTATCTTGCAGCATTTTAGGGTTGCCAACCTCCATGTGGCACCTAGAGATTTCCTGCTACTACAACTGATCGCCCCTGGAGAAAATCACTCTTTGGAGGGTGAACTCCATGACAGTTTGGTGTAGTGGTTGAAGAGTGGTGGACTCTAAATCAGGAGAACCAGGTTTGATTCCCCACTCCTCTACTTGAAGCCAGCTGGGTGACCTTGGGCCAGTCACAGTTCTCTCAGAGCTCTTTCAGCCCCACCCACCTCACGGGGTACCTATTGTGGGGAGAGGAAGGGAAGGAGATTGTAAGCTGCTTTGACTCGTTTGGGTAGAGAAAAGTGGGTATAAAACCCAACTCTGTGGAGGTCCCTCCCCAAACCCTGCCTGCTGCAGGCTCCACCCCCAAAGTCTCCAGATCTTTCCCAACCCATAGCTGGCAACCCAACCCCCGATCCCTCTGGGAAATATCAGAGGGCATAGCAGTACACAAGTTCAATAGATACCATGCTCATACGTATATAAAATACAATGGTACTAGTTTTCACTTAAGCCTGTTCTGAACCACCACTGGAAGTCTCCCACTCTGGGGCTGAGATCTGTTGAAACTAAGCAAGTGATGAGGAAAGGAAAGCCACACATTTGGCCATAAGGACAATCCCCCCCACACACACCTTTCCTTAATGTAAGGCATATTCCCAGCAAGAGCCAGGTCAGCTTTTTTGTACAAGATGTCCAAGAGGCCGGATGGCTCAGCCAAGCCTGATATTGTCAGATCTAAGGAGGAGGAAGAGGAGGAGGAGGAGATTGGATTTATACCCTGCCCTTCACTACCCAAAGGAGTCTCAGAGCAGCTTACAAACTCCTTTCCCTTCCCCTCCCCACAACAGACGCCCTGTGAGGTAGGTGGGGCTGAGAGAGCTCTTACAGAAACGGTGCCAGGACTATGGCTTGCCCAAGATCATCCAGCAGGTGCATGTGGAGGAGTGGGGAATCAAACCCAGTTCTCCCAGATTAGAGTCCACGCACTTAACCACTACACCAAACTGGCTCTAAGAAGCTAAGCAGGGTCAGCCCTTGTTAGTACTTGGATGGGAAATCTGTGGTTGCTAATGCAGAGGCAGGCAACGGCAAAGCCTCTCTGAAGTCTCTTGCGTTGAAAACCCTACAGGCTCGCCACGAGTCAGCTACGACTTGACAGCACTTTCCACCACCACTAAAAGGCAGCAATATGGTTACTGCCTCATACGCGCGGCATCCAAGCAGCAGGAGGTATCGTGAGCAGGGCTTCCCTGAGATACTAAAGGTAAGAACTCGCTTAGCATAAAGTAGTACTGTAATTCATCTTTAGAGACAGTTAACAATCAATGTGTTGGAGCAGAATGAGCGACTATGAGCTCCTACAGGAGAAATGCTTGCCAACCTGTATTGTACAGTGAGGCTTGGATTCTGAAAAATCCTCTGCAGCCCAAGCTAGACAAAGCTGGTCCACCTTGAATAAGAATGGTCCAGAGGAAAATAACCGTTTTTTAAAACACTTATCTTCAAGAAAGAAGTCATTGCAAAAGTATTAAACAAGGTAGCTGAACAGGAATTCTCATTTCTTTTCTTTGAGTAGTGCCCTGGGGTTGCACACTCTTTGAACACTCTTGCTGCTTCTGCAAGCACCAGAATGAATTTATTTTGATAAATATCTGTACAAACCAAGCCTTTTGCCTGTATGTTTCATCTCAGCTGGACTGTACTACAAAGATATGTACTGGATACTTCAGCCTTACTTACAGGGTGATTAAAAGTGCAATGCTATAGCCAGGCCCATAGCCATGGAGCGCATTTGGGGGCAGTGCTCCCATAGATGAGTGCCATCCCCCGTGAACGAAAAAAATAAAATACATTTAAAAAATGTTAAGATGTTGTGGGGTTTCCAAAATGACCCTGGGCATAATCAGGGAAGCTTCAGTCTCGTTTTCTTTTTTCCGGGCCAAAAGATACATAGGTTTTTAAAAATGCAAAAAAAAAAAAAATTAAATTACAAAATGCAAGAGAGAGAATTGGAGATCCCCCCCCCAGCATACACAGAAAAGTAGCCTGAAACTGAGTCTCTCCAATCGAAAGGACTAAAGCTCTCAGCAGAGACAGAGGAGGAGGAGCAGCAGGCATGGCTGGGGCACCCTCCCCAAAATTTCCCCACGCCCCACCAACCAAATTTTCTGGCTACACCCGTCTATAGCTGCTTCAAGAGAGACGGCATATAAAGTTTCCCAAATAAACACTCTGTCTACTTAACAGTCAATATCGGAATTAAGTTATCTGAAACACAGAATGTTAAGACGTTTTACTATGAAACTTGCTTTATGCATTTCATATAAGCTCACAGAAAATCACAAAAGCTGTTAGAAACAGATCCAACTTCACAGCACGTGTTGCTCTAGAATGGCTACTCGATAGTTGTATTCTCTGACATAAAAAGGAGAGACAATTTCTGCTCAGGTTCTACACGGCAAGGAAAAGGAAAGAAACCCTCAGAACTTCGCTTCCCCTTACTTCTGAAAGCCACCAGAAACTGTTCTTTCACAAGTTGGTGCCCCCACAACAATCCATTTTTCAGAGGAGTCAAACAGATATGCTGAACTTCAAATATGTAGTAAGTTGTTTGGTGTAGAAAAAGATCCAAGTAAAATATAAGCAGACAGGCAAATGTGTGGTTTTTTTTCTTGAACAGAGGCTTCTTAGGCTGTAGAGGTTAAGGTATGCTTTGTGAAGGACGTCTCTCTACATATCCATAGGCTGCTAGCAAGTGTCTAACGCACTCCATGTCAGATACACAAGCGTTGCAGGTGTCCTTTAGGAATTCTTCTGTGGAACTTTTACTGTTACCTAGAAAGAAGATGGATTATTATGACTGGTTTGTTTGACTGTTCTCCCATTTCTACAAGATATGTCCCAAACTGGATCCTACATCAATATTAAGGCAAAACAACATTGTACAGTGCAGCAGAAGTGATGTAATCCAGACCGTATCCCTTCCAGATATGCCATCAGTTATCTGATGAAACAGGTTCACATCTACAGCAGAACTCACTGGAGGCAACCCCAATCTTCAGGATGTAGTCCAGCACTATAACCACTTGGCTACTGAAGCGATAGCAATAAGACTACTCAGTCCACTGTATCAGCTGCAAGACACCAGGGCAAACTGCTTCACCACCACCTTAAGCTCTTCAAACCCACTTCAATCTCAGATAGGTGTCAGTTCAAGACCAGAACGATTTCACTGTTTTGTGTATGCACAAGATACACTTCCAAGCAGTTTCCTTCAAGATGCACCTCGCCCCTGTTGTTTTTAGAACTGTGGTGGAATATGTTTGTGGAATATCAGCAAACGCAATATATTGCATATGTCTATGTTTCTGGATCAGCTTATTATCTGCATTAGGTTTGCCTCAGATAGAGCAAGCTGAAACTCGAGCTGTAAAAAGGCAGACTCATTCACTGTTGACTCCAGTTAAAAGCAGTAAGCTTCATGTTTCTGAAGAAATAGGACGGTGAAATAGAGCTTGATGTAATGTAATTTTGTAATGTTCTATCACAATAGCAAGCTACATATTTATTAGCTTGATGTATATATAGTTCAGGGGGCTGGGAGGCCCGGGGAGCAGACAGGTATGTGCTCTCATATAGTAGGTCATCAGGTGGGGGAGAAGGCTCTCCCCTAGCCTACATTGTGGGCTCCTATAGACCTAAATGGTTTTCTGGGCTCCAATTGTATACTTTATTGGTTATTCAACTGTATTATCAGATTAAAATAAGACAGAAAATGCTGGATCTTAGGAAGCTAATAATCATGTATGTTTGAATGCATATTGAATGATCATTTTGAAAGAAGGAAAAAAGAACATAGCTTATGTAAAGAGATATAAATATAATGTAAGGAGATGCAAGTTCAATTGATAAAATTTAGCTTAAACACTAGATGTTATATACAATCTATGTACCTTTTTGTTGGTTGTGAGTAATATAGTTCTTCAATTAATTTTTTTTAAAAAGAACTGTGGTGCAAAAGGCAGCAGCAACTTTGATACAGCTCACTAAAGTATTATTTGAGCATTATCCTGCATTTAGGATGACAATAGTTGCCAGCTGCCTGTTTAAGAGAGCGAAGAGTTCTTTGGGAGCTCTCCATTGAGTATAATTGAGGCACTACATGTTTTTGAACCTGCAGCTAGAGTCAGGTAAGTGAATTCATGATGCGTATTCCAAGTTTTTCTTCACAACTTAAAGGATGCTGTCAGTACAAAAAACAGATTTCATGAGGTAGTGTTAAATGGAATGAGGAAACTGCTAAAGAAAATGATAGTCATACTACAATAGTATTTTATGCTGCCAGACCATGGTATGATGCAGCAGGCTAGCCTGATCTCATCAGTTCCTGGAAGGTTAAGCAGGGACTACGGTCACACACGCTAAATAATCCACTTTCAGTGCACTTTCCAACTGGATTTTACTGTGTGCGCTGGCAAAATCCAGTTGGAAAGTGCATTGAAAGTGGGTTATCTAGTGCGTGTGACCGCAGCCAACGTCAACCCTAGTCAGTATTTGGATGGGAGACCACCCAGGAATACCAGCGCCACTGCACAGAGGCAGGCAATGGCAAACCATCTCCGAACGTCTCTTGCCTTGAAAAGCTTATAGGGTTGCCATGTTGGCTAAGACTTGACGGCAAAAAAAAGAAGAACACAATACACTGTCAGTCCTTGCATAATTTTACAGTGCAGATTTTACTTCTGCTCACAGGACTTCTCCCTTCCTCTTCCACAAGATGTGAAACAACGGCTCCCATTTTAGAGCATGGGGGTAGAGATGTTGACAAAATATAGGAGAAGGATGTACCATGAGAGGGTTGAAGATACTCACCGTTTTCACCTCCGTGTATGGTTGCAAGCCGTATTCTCCCCCCTCACGGCCTTGTCCAGACGCTTTGTACCCCCCAAATGGAGCCTGGCTGCCAAACACGTTGTAACAGTTTATCCTAGAAAAGAAACAAAATTATTTCCTTCATTTATACCCCAAATGGAGGTAGGGGTTTTAGAAGAGGGAACACAAACTTTCAGCACTGAAAAAGGAAAATGCCTTTGGCTTAAACAGGACTTTGTCTCATTGGAAGAGCTCTGAAAGGGGAGGCAGAATAACTAGCAATGAAGCTCTGTATGTCCTTGGGAATTTTTTCCTCTCATCAAAATGCTACAATGTACTCATGAGGAGCATACAAACAGTTTACAAAGGCTGTTAAAAGGAAAGATTCAGCAATTGCATGCTTGCATTTGGTCTCTTACCAGACGGTTCCAGCACGCAAACCCTGAGAAATGTAGTTCGCTTTATCAATATCTTTGGTGAAGACGGCTGCTGCCAAGCCATACTTGGTGTCATTTGCTCTGTTGATGACTTCCTCAATGGATTTGAACCTTAGGATCTGCATGACTGGCCCAAATATCTGTGAAGCAGAGGAACACACATGCAAAGAGGGAGGGTTTCTACCATCACTTCCACCCCAATTTATTTTTTAAAGTGTACAAGAAGAAGAGAAGAAGAGATTGGATCTATACCCCACCCTTCACTACCCAAAGGAGTCTCAGAGCGGCTTACAAACTCCCTTCCCTTCCCCTCCCCACAACAGACACCCTGTGAGGTAGGCGGGGCTGAGAGAGCTCTTGACAGAAACGGCTCTTTTTCAAGGACAGCTCGTCAGAACTATGGCTTGCCCAAGTTACGTTCCTTGCAACTTTGGCGCTCAGTTACATAAATACTTATAAATTTTCATTGCAAATTTGTCAAGGCATAATTAAAATAGACAGGTGCTTAAAAACATGCCACACTCTCATGTTGACAGTTTGGGCAATTCCAGGAGTTGACATTTCTGCAACACAGGAGGCAGGCAGGCAGAAAGAAAGAGCATCCTGACCTCCTCTTTAGCAATAATCATGCTGTCTTGGACTTCTCCAAAGATGGTTGGCTGGATGAAGTAGCCTTTGTCTGCAGCCGGACTGCCTCCATAAAGCAGTTTTGCTCCTTCCTTTTTCCCGGTACTGATGTATCCAAGGACCTTCTTATACTGATTCTCATCTACCTGAAGGGCCATCAAAATAAGGACGTTTTGGTCAAGTCTGTTCTCCGCAGAAGACAGGCATTTTACTGCTGCATCATTCACATGTCTGCATACACTACACTTCTCCAGTTCAGGCAAAATTAACAAAGATTCAGAGATATCTTTTTTACTGATAGGGATACAAAGATCTGTCAGTGTTGTTTTTAAACCGACTACCTTTGGGATGGGTACCAAGTAAATACAC